CTCTGTGCTGACAGCTCAGAAACTGGAACCTGCTTCAGATTCTGTGTCTCCCTCTCTGCCCTTCCTCCACTCATGAGGAGTGTCTCCCTCTTCCTCTCTGTCTTCCTCTCTCAAAAATAAATAAATATTTTAAAAAATTAAAACAAAAACAAAATTCAAGGTATAGAGAGATGAAAGATAAAAGTGGAAGAGTAGTCTGGGAAGGAGGACTTTATATGCCAGATTATAGAATTAGAAGTTATGAGATAATGAAGATACATTTAAAAATTTTATGAAAAAATCTCATGATGAGATAATCAGGACCTACACTAAGGACTATATGTCAGGAACAGAAAAAATAAACATACTGACAATATTCAGAAATAAAGTCAATAGGATTTAATGTGGGAAAGATACAGAAAGAGCTAGTGTCCAATATGATTCCAAAGTTCCTATCTCGAGTGATCTTTTTGGTTGATAGATTTTATTACTTGAAATAAGAAACACAGAAAAAGTAATTAGATCAAGGCTTAAACTGGAGGTAGGAAATTTTATACTCCAAAATTACAGAGGAGATAAGAAAAAGTAAAATATAAATGAGTTTGTATTCATCAATTATCTCTTAAACTAGATAGAGTTATAGAATCTGGCAGGCAAAATCTATCTAAAAGAATTTTTTTTTTTTAACAAAGATTGCACCTAATAAGAATGAATCTGAAAGTCAACCCTCCTGAGAAGAATGATCCACATTCATAGAAAAACTATAAGAAGAAATATATTTCATGGGAGTTCTAACTATGAATTTTTGTAGTTTTAGAAAGTGTTAGATCTGCACCGTTACCTGAAATACATTTTTTATTTAACATATAAGCTTTGTATTTCACTTAAAAGTGAAAATACTGTTCTTTGATTCTTATAAAGTAAATCTTGGAAAATACACACTTTATAAGATATCCTATCTTTAATAAAATATATTTTTATAGGCCCACCAGTCACAATCCTGTGAGAGATCATGAGAAAATATCCACATATTTAATAAAAGTACAACTTAAAATAATAATTTGATATCACTATTTATCAGATTGGCAAAGTTGAAGAAGTATTTTAAATAGTACTGGAAGAGATAATTTCTTAGTTGGAATTTGAAAATATTTAAATCTTAATATCTTTAAATAAATAAATCTTTAAAATTTTCCCATTCTTCTTATCAAGCATACTAGTAATAACTTACGGTGTATTCAAGAATTGGGCTACAAACATATACATCTCTATTATCTATGTATTACAAGTGAAGTAGCAGTTTTTAGCATTTTGCCTTTTTTTAATTTTAAAGAAAATATCATAATCAAAATATGCAAGTATTCAAAAACTAGTTATAATTAACTTTTTGCTATTTCTCAAAAGGACTTTTAAAAATATTTATTATTGAAGTACCATTGACATACAGGTTATATTAGTTTCAGGTGTACAATGTAGTACATAGTAAATTCTCGCTATTTCTCAAAAGGACTTCGGACTGGGTAACTCTAGTTATACCACTACATTGCAGAAGTTCCAAAAATTCTCTTCTCCCATTTATCTTTCCTAAAATGGTACTCATCACAACTCGGCAGCTAGTCCCAATATCTCTGATTCTATATTAAAACTCTCCAAAACTTTGTTCTACAACTGAGTGTTGGCCATTTCTTCTCTGTAATCCCTTTTCTCCATCTTTTCAACTCTTTTTCCTTCTCTTTTTCCTTCTCTTAAATGTGTCCTCACATGAGTTAATATAGCCTCTTAGACATACACATGCTCTAATTCATCAATTTCCTGGACCAACACAGCAAAACCCAATGCCTTGAATTGCCTAAAAAAGAAAGCATTATTCCTCTTTAGAAGATAGAAGAGAGGCTTTAGAAGAAGAGAGACAGCTGAAAATATATGTTACTTTTTAAAAATATCTGTCATAATTTATCATCCTTGTTATATTTATCACAAATATTGAAAATCTGATTATCCAAAAACAATAGACTGATTAAAGTATATTAAATTCATGCAATGAAATTTGATACCACGGTTTTAAAATAGTGAGTGTGTGAACATATGAATTATATTTAATGACACAGAAATATAAATATGTTATACATAGATGTATTAAATTTTAAATTCAGAAACAAATTAGAGTGTATCATTAATCCCTATACTTTTTTTAATGGATATAATTATATACTTATATCAGAATATTTTTAGTAATTATCCTTACATAGTAGGATAAAAATTATGTTTTACGTTTGTTCTTATCCTTCTATGTTTTCTAAATATTTTGTAATAAACATTTGTGATAAGAATAAAATTAAGCTATTTGTAAAGATGAAGATCTTTACTGTTTTCAAGTAAAGTAATATGTTAAGTTCAGAGTCAGGAAATCACATCTAATTTCGTCCCAACAGAATTTTTTTTAAGTATCCAACTGACATTTATGCAAAATCACGCATACCAGTTCTAATAAAAGATGGATGTGAATTATTTTGTTTACTACATTCTAAAAGATAAAACCATTTCCATCTGTATTAGTTTGTTGGGGTTGCCATACAAAAATTACAGACTGGGAGACAAAACACAAGTTAATTTTCTCACAGTTCTGAAGACTCAAAGATCATGATCAAGGGCTGTCAGAGAAGAGGCCTCTCTGCTTGGCTTTCTCACTGTGTTCTCACATGCCTTCATCCACACACAGACAGCACTGATACCCCTTCCTCTTCTAAGCACACCAGTCCTATTGCATTAGGGCCTCACACTTGTGACCTCTTAACCTTAGTTACCTCTTTTAAGGCCCTATTACAAATATGGTCACACTGAGGTCAGGGCTTCAACATATGAATTTTTTATAATTTTTTTTTAAATTTATTTCTGAGAGAGAGAGAGAGACACATGAACAGAGGAGGGTCAGGGAGAGAGAGAGATACAGAATGTGAAGCAGGCTCCAGGCTCTGAGCCAGCTGTCAGCACAGAGCCCTACAGGAGACTCCAACCCACAAACGGTGAGATCATGACCTGAGCGGAAGTCCAGTCGCTTAACCGACTGAGCCACCCAGGCGCCCCCAACATATAAGTTTTTAAGGGAGCACAAATGAGTCTGCAACTAAAATATACTTTATAAGTAAAAATAGAATAAACTTAAGTTCCCAAAGGTGGATATGAAAATAGTGATAGATATAGTTCATATAGTAGCACTAGTATATATTTGGCTATATTCTAATTCTTTGAATATTTATCCATAGCTTTAGTAAGTAAGAAACATAATTAATTGAAGATTCCTTCTTTCACTAATGCTGAAGATGTAAGAGGCTGAATGTCATCCCTTCATTTTTAATCTAGCTGTGCTATTACAAAGTGTCACATACACACCTGTACTAACAGGTATAATCATCTCAAAGGCAGAGCTTGAAAGGAAATGGTAGACTTCAGGGAATGCCTTAAAAACATCAGGAGGCCTATTCATTAGTTTTTTGTTTTCTATATTGGATTATATCAAACTGACCAAAATTTGTATTTATAATTGATCTGTTAAAACAAAAGCAAAGTTTAGACAGAGAACATTCATCAATTCATATTTCAATATGTACATGGATTATGTAGGCCAATAAATCATGCAACCAGCTGTGTCTTTTTCAAAATGTACTGGTAAATAATCATTTGGACTGAAATTAATTCCATCTTTTCTTCTCCCAATCCCTCACTCACATAGCAGTGTCAAAGTGTTAGAAGACAAAAAATAAGCTGAGATTCAGTCATAAATAAAATAACTAATTCTGCATACCAACCAAATAGTACATGGCAGGATCATTGGTTATTATGTAAAGAGCCAAAGCAAACCAGAGGGCTATGAAATTAGATAACAATTTTTTCACCAGGGGTATAAATATTTTCAGTGTATAAAAATTCATCCACATGTGAGGATTTTTCCCCCTTTTATGGCAACTCTATCAATAAGGATGTCATTTACCCAAGGTTGTTTCTTCAACTTTCATCAAATAATTTAATCAAACTATTTCTGTTTATAACACTTTGTTTGAAATGTGCATTTCCAAGGAAGTATCTTTCTTCCTTAGAAAGCAGAACATGAGAGATAATTGAGAATATTTATGGGTTAAGTATTTAAAACTACTTTGCAGTGTTATCAACTAGAGTCAACATGTTTTTTACATTAGCTCCTTAGACCTTATTCACTTTATAGATGATTGTTTGTAGTCTTTTACCAATCTCTCCCTACTTCCCCCACCCCCAGCCCCTGGCTATCACTTTTCTACTTTCTGTTTCTATGAGTTTGACTTCTTTTTTAAATTTAAGATTCCATGGATACATGACATCCAGCAGTATTTGTTTCTCTGTATGGCTTCTCTTACTATAATGCCTCAGGTTCCATCCATGTTGTCATAAATGACAGGATTTCCTCCTTTCTCATGGCTCATTAATATTCTGTTGTATATCTATTTAAAAATTAAATACTACATGATTTTTTATCTATTCGTGCATTGATGGAACTCCGATATCCTGTTTTCATTTTCTTTAGACACATGAGGTCTAAAGATCTAATGTAAAACATGGTGATGACAGCTATAATGCTGTACTGTATAAGGCAAATTTGCTAAGGGAATAGAACTTAAATGTTCTCACCAGAAAACAAACAAAAATATAAATATGTGAAATAATGGATGTGTTAACTAACCAGATGAGGAGAACATTTCACAATATATTTCAAGTCATTACAATGTATATTTTAATATCTTATAATTTTATATGTCAATTATACCTCAGGAAAGTTGAAATAAAAATCAAACAAAGAACAATATTTTGCAGTTGATTCTTCTTCTTTCTCTAAGGACTTAGTGAGAACTAATCCTGTCACTGCTTGGACTCCTGGTCACTTTGGTCATCCCAAAGTTTGAGGCTTCCAAACCATCTGTTATCTCTAAGACTGCTGATAGTCTTCAGAGCCTGTAGTTACAAACACAGATATAAAACCAGGATGCCACTTACTGTCATCATGGGCAAATCATTTACATTTCCAGTGCTTCATATTCCTTATCTGTAAAAGGAGGAAATAATATTTATCTATTAGAAAGATTAAATAATGATAGTGTTTAAGCATTTAGCACATAGCAGTTTCAAACTAAGAAATATAGTATATCCCCAAATCTGACCAAATGCTGCCCTCCCTCCCAAATCTTTTTCCTAGCCTTGTGAAAACCTAGAATAGGAGGGGAGGCTTCATGGAGGTGCAACCTGTAGAGTCATAAAGGGCTCCACATTTAGAAGCGCAATGTTCATCTGTTGCCATGTTGACATTCTTACTGATTTTTGCACATGATTTCCTGCACTTCTACATTGCACTGTATCCTCCAAATTAGGCAGTCGATATGTCATCCCCAGATTACCTTATCACTTTAACCTCTTCTGTGAATATTATCTTCAACTTCTTAAGTCCTGATGACATTGCTTTCCTTGTAACAGTCTGAAGCAAAGGATTTTTTTTTCCTATCATACACCATATACCCACAGGACCAGAAGGTAAGGAGTTAGGTGTGCATCACCCCCTCCTGTTTGAAGCTTGCACTATCAGACTTTATCACCCACTAGATCTTCTTAGTCTCATGTATTGACTCAGTCATTCCTTCAAATTTACTCTGGACTCATTCTCTTCCTTTTCTTCTCCATTCCTATACATTTCATCATTCTTGGTGACTTCAGAATTCATGCAGATGAGCCATTTCACCCGTCAGATCCTTCCCTTCTTCACCTCTAATCACCTGTTCTTCCACCCATTCCCAGCTAGCCTTGCTGACATTGCACCAGCAGTAACTCATCATAGCTGAAATTTTAATATCAATCACTCTTTTTTCTGGTTGCCACCTGCTGCTCTTTTAGCTTTCACTCTTCAACTGCAGTGAAACATCTATGACACTGACTTCATTTTTTTTTTTTTACCTCTTCCTATCTACTTCTGTGTCCTGTCCCTCTTTCACCTGGCCTTGAGTCTATGTTTTCTAGTTAAAATTATTCCCTTTTAATTATTTTAACTTGCTTGCCCCTTTCTCAAGCATCCTCCCCTAGAAAAAATGCATACGTTAGTTTTATCCATTTTAAAAGTTTTTATGCCAACTTCTGAGAGGCTGAATATAACTGTAAACGATGAGGAAGAAGAAAACGAACTTCAATTAATGCTAACATTTTCATATGGATACCCAACACTTACTAGCAAACTTTCTGCACTCCTATAGCAGTTTAACTTCCTAAAAATGAATCACAAATGACCCTTCATACTCTCTCCAGCCTCTTCTAAGTACTGCCTCTTTCTCTGTTACCCTCAATGTAAAACTGCTGAGATGATTTTTTTTAGCACTTGCTAATCATATTGTCTGCCATTTACTCTTCAACTTACAACACTGTCATTTTTTCCCATTATTCTAAAAAATATTGCCTCGTTAAGGTCGTTTGTGACCACCTTCTTGCCAAATCTACTCTTCCATCCTCTTCCTACGTGACATTCACCCAGCATCCTCTGGGTGACATCCCCTCTTCCTTTGGTACCAAATATTTGACACTTTTCTGCCTTCCTCTTATCCATCTCACTGGCTGTGACCTTCTAAGGTTATCTTGTCTCTTAATATTCACCTCATTCAATCCTTGCATGAGATCTCCTTGGTTGCTTTTATCCAATTCCATGGTGTAAATAGCACCTACATAGACTGAGCCATTGCCCCTATCTACCAAGGACTAAGAGGATTCCCAGGCCTTGGGATTGTCAGTAATATAATGGGGACAGTCTTAGGCAAACCGAGATGGTTGTTCACTTGTTACAATGTTCACCTGTTATAAGGCCTCAAGCCTGCTATAAGTCCAGATGTCTCTGATGAGCTGTGTTTTCACTTGGTTTGTAAAATACATTTCAAACTTAAATCTGTCGGAAACAGAACTATAGAGTTTTACCTTCAAATTCTTCTTCTCTAATTATCCATTATCTCCATATACGTTATCATAACATACCAGTTCCTAAGGCAAAATAAAAGAAATCAGAAATCATTTAAGGTTCTTCACAACTTTTTCTTTTTCATTCCCATGTATATCTGCCACCACCTGTACCACCATGATTGTCTCCTCAGTACTCTCCTTCTTTGAACCGTGATCCTTTCCAATTTGTTCTGCACAATGAAAGGTGGGATAACTCTATTTCTAAACTAGGGAATTTATTTTTTATGAAACATATATAAAGACTTATTTCTTTCCAAAATAGTTCAGTGGTTTCCCACTACTCTAAGAATAGCAATGAAACATTTCCCCAGGGTTTACAACAGAGCTTCTCTACCAACCGGTGGAGAGGATGAGTTTGTTTTCATTTTTGCTTTTGCTTTTTACTAATCCATTATGGACTGACATGTGGGTCCTGCTGCACATGACAAGAAGCAATTTGCAACATGAGATGCATGATGCAAGTTTGAAAATGTGTGAACTGAGATGATCCAGTGATCATGTGCTGGAGTCTCAGCAATGTGAAGTTGCTACAAAGGTTTTAAGTTTAGGTAGTTACCTTGTTTACTGAGCAGAAGTGATCTACAAACTCAAACTTTTATTAGCAGTGGTCTACAAGGCCCTGGCTTTCTAGCCTTACCTCACACAACCAAACCAGTTTCTCCCAACAGAGCAGGTGCCCTGGCTTCCTTTCTGCCCTTCAAATGAGACAGCAAGCCTGTGTACTCAGCTGAAAACATTCTTTGTCCAGCTCTCATCAATAAAACTTACTGTTAACCTTCCAGTCTCAGCTTAGACACTCTCTTCAGAGAGTATATCTCAAACCACTCTCTGACGTGATGTTCTCTAATTATTCTGTGAATCAAATAGAGTTTATGTCCTTTATAATACATTCTTGGATATTAACATATACTTTTAGTTAAAAATATTTACTTGTGAATTTTAAAATTAGTTATTATTAGTATAATAAGTAAAATCACCCTTTGCTCTCCAATTCTATCCTTTCTGAGGACACCATTATCAGTGTGTATACTGTCATCTTGCTAGCACAAAGACACACACACACACACACACACACACAATTTGTTTACTTACTTGCTTTTTAATGGCATTATTTACATGTTATTTTGTATTATAATTTTTCACCTAATAATATATTTTAGACATGTCTAAAGTGTAGAAACCTAGATTAAATGCTTGTATAATTTCCTTTGAAATAGGTATACATATAACTCATGTGAATAGTTTTACATGAATGAGAGTTTTGAGCATGTTTTTAACTTCCAGCTTTTGTTTTGTTTTTCTGTTTCCCAGTGTCTTTGTTCCTCTTCTCCACCTGCATCAACTTACCTTCTTTCATGTTCACAATCCATTGTGATTCTTGTTAAAAACTCAATGTCTTTCCTTTCTCACAGTGTTTTGTATGTTGTTCTATTTGCTTCTGTGCATCTTGTTTTTCTCAGTCAAAGCTCATTGGCAAAATAACTCCAAGACAAATAACATAAATCTTACGCATTCGTCAAAATTTCTTTTTTAATAGCTCATAGTGTGAGTGTATCATATTTTTTCCAGCTAAGTTCATTCACACTTTCAGTTTTTTGCCACTACAAAAAATAAAAAAATAGAGAAAAAGAACAATAAGCATCCTTGTATATACATTTTTATTTGGTGATACTTTTACTCCTATGTAATAGGGTTGCTTCTAAGACTGCGATTATTTTAAATTTTATAGACATTGTTAAACTGCTTTATAAAAAGGTGGGGATAGTTTATATTCCAGGAGCAAAGAATATACCATCTCCTTCACAGCCTGCTGGCAAGTTTATTAAAACTTTTAAATTTTGTCAGTCTGCTCACTTGGTGCTATCTCATTGTGATTTTAAGTATAAGAAACTTGAACTTACCTATCTGTGGATTCTCTCTTCATATTCTTGATGTATTTTTCTATTAGGTAGTTTGACTTTTTCTTTACAATTTCTAAGGACATTTCTATATCATAGAAACATAAACATTCATCTTCATCTGGGTTGCAATCCTCCCACTGGCCATTCTATCATTTGCTGACTTTATGTTAATGTAGTGGACATTTATCATGCTTGTGTTTGCTTCAGGAAATAATGAACATCTTTTCTATATGTGAGAACTTTCCACTTATGAGTCCTGTCCCTCTAAACTAGAAACGTGATTTCCCATGCTCCCTTGCAGCTAGGACACAAGAATATGCCCCAGTCTCTTCCTATCGGATTCATCTGCACACAACTTCAGCTAGGAAATGATCAAGGCAAGACAGTAGCCATAGCACTAGTGTCCTATAGAGGTAGCAATGGTATCATCTTAAAGTAGTCTCTCAAGGACATTTAGGTATTTCTTCTTCCAAATTGTTTTTCTGTATTGTCAGTACACTGGTGAGCACAGTGGTCTTCCAATATGTTTTCTGCAACATATACCTAAAATAGATGCTGTTGCTTTCAGTCAAGAACCCCAAAGGATATTGGTATCTGGGCATATACAAAAGTTATAATTTCTTGCGTCAAATATATCTCTTTTTTATTTGATTTGCTTCTGGGTTTCTGGTAATGTTATCAAGTTTCCCCTGAAACCCTATATTGCATATGTAGCCTTCATGATTTTCTTCTAAGTGTATCATATTTAAATTTTAAATGAATTGGTAACAAATGTACATATTCACAGTTATTTATATTTATATTTTAGTTCATATTTACATAAATTGTTATAAATATAAAATAGCATATAGTAAATATTATATATATAAGGAAAAAGATGAAAGGAAGATCAGTACTAACCAATATAACATTTTACAAAGATGGATATCTTCAATAATCTGCACTGCCCAATAAAGTGAACACTAGTCACACTTTAGACTGAGCCAGTCAGGTGCCTCCTGGCCACACTTTAAAACATGACTAATGCAGCTGAAGAACATAATTATAAAGTTAATTTTAATTAATTTATATTTAAATAGCACTTGTAGCTAGTGGCTATAGTATTGATCAGCAAATACTGTGAGAATGGGCACAACTTCCTTCTGGATAAAGAGTTAATTGGTAGCCCCATTTATTAAATAATTATTTTCCCACTGAATATGCCATATATAAAATTTTTACATACAGACATCCATTTGTTAGATTCTCTATTTTTTTATGGCTCCATATGGCTAATACCATATTGATGTGATTATGGTGACTTTATAGTGTGATGAATAATGTGTAAAGCAAGTTTCCCAGCTTCTCAGTCTTCTATATGAAACTTTTCTTGGCTTTTCTCAGACATATACTCTTCCAAGCAGACTTTTATGTCACTGTATCCATTCTAAAATCGACCTTGATTAAGTTCTATTTAGAAGTGATTCAAATTTATAGAATATTTCAAAGAATTGACATTTTTACTGTATTAATTCTTCATATATAAGTGCATATTTTCCATAGTTTAAGTATTAGTTTATGTCTTCCATAAGATATTTTTATATAGATCTGATGTTTTCATCTTAAAATTATCTATAATATTGTTGTTTATTCTAAATAGATATTCAATTTTTATTGACATTTGCTTACAGATAAAACAGAAAACAGCTATTGATCTTTATATATTTATTTTACTTCTACCTCAACAAATTCTCTTATTCAAATTTTTCCTGGATTTTGACTTTAATTAAAATCTCAAGATTGCTAGGCATACAATATTGTCATTAGAAAAAAAATCATATTTTTCAATGTTTATGTTGACTTCAATTTTTTAACTCACTTTTCCAAAACAATGAAAGCAGTAGAAATTTCCATCTCATTTTTAATAGTTAAGATTGTTTGAGAAAGACAGTGTATGTGAACAAGGTGGGAGTAGAGAGAGGGGAGAGAGAGAGAATCCCAAGCAGGGCTCAAACTCACAAACTGTGAGATCATGACCTGAGCAGGAATTAAGAGTCAAATGCTTAACTGACTGAGTCACCAGGGTACCCCTCTCAGTTTTTAGATTAATTATAATGAGAATTTAATAATTTAGAATGATAATTAGTTTTGGTTTGAGGGAAGTTATTTTGTGGTATTGTGTAGTTTACTTTTATTCCTATTTAACTTATGTATATTTTTTTCAGGATGTATTGATATTACCATAAGACCACGATCTTTTATAGGTTGACATAAATAATTATGCTGGTAGGTCTCTAGATATTAAAAATAAAAATATTTTATAATTATTTTCAGTTTTTTTATATATATAATTTATTCTCAAGTTAGCTAACATACAGTGTATACAATGTACTCTTGGCTTCAGGAGATTTCCCTGATTTGTCACTTACGTACAGCACCCAGTACTCACCCCAACAAGTGCCCTCCTCCGTGCCCATCACCCATTTTTCCCATCTTCCAGCCCTCCACCCGCATCAATCCTCAATTTGTTCTCTGTATTTAAGGTCTCTTATGGTTTGCCTCCCTCTCTGTTTGTAACTGAGAAACTTAACACATGACCACCACTGGGAAAGGGAAGATTTTTACATCTGCATTTGTATATGAGGTTAAGCTATACTTTTGTTTTTCATACTAACTTAATGAAGCTTTATATTAAGAAATTTTTTTCAGGTGGGATTTACTAGTTTAAGTAACATGGAGATTACCTGTTTTGTTTTCCAAAGGTTTGATAGAATTCATTTGTGAAAATCTGTGGTCTCGGGGGATGTCATTAATGGGAGATTTTGAAACTCCATCACTTCTTTGATTATTGAATTAAACTTTTTATCTTCTCTTGAGATAATCTTAGAAATTTAAATTGTGTTACAGAGGCATTTCTGTTATCTCTAAGGTTTTCAGATTTGTTGCCACAAAATTGTCTATAAAAGTACTTTATTCATTTATTACTAATTTAATCACACCTCCAGTAATGTCTCATATCTCATTCCCATTCTTGTGTATTTTGCTACTTTCTTTTGTCTTAATCAGGCTTGTTTTGTGTCTCAAATCTCACTTGACTTTCAGTATGGTTCACTAGTTAGCAAAAGCGTAATCTCCAAAGTCCAAACGGTTACAGTTTTAGGGCAAGTTTTTACACGATATTTCTAGTTTGTTATTATAAAACAATTGATGCTTATGAATAATAAGAAATTATATTACCTTGAGTGTCCAAATAGAGCTCAATCAGAAGATCTTATTCAGTAATCAAAACTCAGTCTCCCATTTAGGGCCTAGTATGGGTAAGAGTGGAAAGAAGGGACAAAAGTAGAAAAGAGGGTAAGCATAAATTTGGGCAAGGCAGTAGTGCAGCTTTCAAATGGGCCTGCGGGACTGACTTCCAGAACACCAAGGCAGAAATGATCCAGCCGGTACTGACTCTTTCTCTCACAATCAGTAAACTTCAACCAACACTATGTAACATGTTCTATTGTAGTTCCTAAGGATACAACAGTGAACAAATCAGACAATAGATTCCTACAGTAATGAAGTATTACTTCTGGGGGAAGGTGGGGACGAGAGACAGGCAAGATAGGGAAGCAAGCAAGGTAAATATGTAAAATAGACATTATGTTAGATGCTGATAATTGGTATGGAGAAACACAAAGCAAAGGAATTCTGACATTTTAAATAGGTTAATGAGGGTAGGGAGGAAGGCAAGTTGATATTTGATGGAAAAAAGTTCCAGGAGGGAGAATACATGATATTTTTAAAAACCAATGAGACAAATGAAATTAAAACAGAGTGAGCAAAGTGTTGAGTCATAATAAGGTGCAACCACTAGGTTATAGGTGAGGCGAGAAGGTGGGGATAGGCAGAAGGGACCGTTTACATAAGGCCCTATGGGTTGTGACCAGGATTCTGGTTCTTACTCAGCAAGGCAGAGAGCTATTGAAAGGTTTATTATTGGACTGACATGGCCTAACTTATTTTTTAACAGGTTTCCCTTGGGTTGATAAAAGGGAAAGGGAGACTGGCTGGAAGACTACTCAAAACAGCTGAGTGAAAGATGATGATGATTCCCATCATGATGCCACCTGTAGATGTGTTAGACAGGAGCAAATTCAGCACAGGTACAGATGACAAAATGTGGGGATCAATCATATACTTGGTGTGAAAGAAAGCAGGGAGTCAAAGGTAACCCAAGATTTTTTATTTGAGCAACTTGATAGATGGAGTTTCCATTAACAAAGATGTAGAAGGCTATGAAAATAAAATTGGGTGGAAGAAGATCAGAAGTTAACTTTTTGGTCTGTTAAGTTTGAAATGATTGCTACCCATTCAAGTGGAGTGTCAAATGAAGAAAGTGATTTTGGAATTCTATAGACAGTTCAAACACGGATTTTTCTGTTGAGATGTGGAAACAAGGTGCCATCTAGTTTTCCTAGGAAGACCCTTTATTCCTTCAATAATTTCCTCCACTTTCCCTGAAGTCTTTTATTTTTCTTTCATATTTTCATCTATGTTTGCT